GGGATTTTAGCTGAGGGAGCGTTTCACAGTTGCCGCGGCAACAAATGGCCAGTCCCTGACTTCTCTTTTGATCTCCTTGGAAACCAGGAAGTAGATTAGTTGTAGAGTTTAGAGGGAGAAGCAGAGAATAAAAAGGGTTTAGTGAGGTGGAACAACATTGCCTCTCCTCTCTTCTGTCGTCTCAGTCCCTTCTGTTCACAGGTTTCTCTCTAAAGTTTCTCTTTGATCTCTGAGCTTCTCCTTCCAACTGATCATCTGTTTACATTATGTTCATGAAACCCTGACTGTTCAGCTTAATAAATAAACAAAGAAAAATAACCAAACATCACTCCTGATAGTTCATTAAGTTTGACTAACAATAACCCTGATTCCTTTTTGCTCCACATCAATCGATTCATCACTAGTGTGAATCTTAAAAGGGATCTATTAAGCAAAATCCACATTTTGCACTTTTTTGTTCTTCCATTTCATTTTCTACTGCTTTTAAAAATAACCCAAGTTCTATTTATTTGTTTTATTTTATTTTTTTAAACCATCCAGCTGTTCTTTGGCAATAATTTAATGTCTTTTGGTGTCAGCAAATCCCAGCCCACTACTTAGCAACCCCAGCAGAACTCTGCCTGTTACCTAGCAACCCCAGCAGAACTCTGCCTGTTACCTAGCAACCCCAGCTGAATTTTTTTTTATTTCAGTGTGGAATAATTATTAATCATCATAAATATGCCAGAATTAGCCATAGCAGCAAATTTTCCCTAGCAGGTTGATGGAAGGGATTAAAAAAATACTATTAACATGCATAACAACATACATGTGATTTATAAGAGATGTCAATGTGCAGCTGTTATTAGTGTAATTGTATACATTTATAAAAAATAAATAAATAAAAACAAGCCACATCTGTAAGTAAAAAACATGTAGTTAATTTAAAAATTATAATAATTTTGATTATCTATAATTAAATGAGTTCCTGAAACATGTAATATTTATTAGTTTAATGGTATTTAAATGCTGAACAGAAAGTAAAAACTGACCAAAATAACATTTCCAAAAGTAGCATTTTACAGTCTCCATTACCAACTGTCATTAAGATGGACAATATTATTCTAGTCAGAAATTCAACATTTTTTTCCCTCACTTCATTTCGTCAGATTAGTTTTTTAATAAATCCTGTTTTGCGTAAATGAATAAAATAACATTTTTGTTAATCTTTTGAACTTTGTTGCATTTTATCATTTTCTGTTGCTTTGAAATCAGAATGGTTAAGCTGCTGAATTGTTATTTTTGGAAATGTATGAATTTACAACTAAATGTAAAGTGAGTGCTACCATCAGTGTGACCTTTGAACCTGTAAACATTGGGTGGAATGTTGGAGTGTGTCAGTGAATGAAGCTGTGCTGTATTAACACACTGCCTCCAGACACTGTTAAACCACCGGAGGTTGTTGAGCCAACCAGCAGCCACATTATTTAATGTGAAATTAACCCAGTGAAGGTTTAAAGCAGAACCTGACTGCAGTCCATGAGTCAGAGTTCAGCATGTGTAATATAGGAAACACAAGAAGTAGATGTGTGAGATTTTTGGACTCTGTCCTGTGCAGGAAGCACATAAAACAGGAAACATTTCAGCCAACCTGCTAAGCTGACTACATTCCTCACATCCTGGTGCTATGTGTGGTGGAAAACACACTCTGAACACACCACCTCCACTGAGAAACATGGTGGTGGCAACGTCATCCTGTGGGGTTGCTTTTATTCAGCAGGATAGAAAGGCTGGTCAGAGTGGACAGGATGATTCTGCTAGAAAACATATTTTTCTAACAGAAAAAAAAATTAGAAGCCTTTTCAGATTTATTGTTTTTCAATTATCCATTCAATTTTGTATTGATTTATTACATTAAATAAATTGAGATTTAAAGCCGCTAATCTACTAATAGCAGTGCTAATTTTTCATTTAGCACTTTAACTAACTTTGGTCACATTTATTGCGCTTAGCTTCCCTGAAATTATTTTTCTCAGATAAATTCTAAAGCACTAATTTACCTGGTTTTTTTTTTAAACTTTCAGTTGTATAAAATTCAATATCTGTGTTGACGTTTTTGTTATCGACTGTTAAGAATTATTCAAGGAGACATTTGTATTCACACTCTTATTTTGAAGGGGATGAAGATTATTTTTGTAGCATTTCCGTTCCTCCCGTCTCTGTTTTCCCGTAAACAAGAAACATACAGAACGAAATAAAACACAGACAGTAGATGTAAACATAAATACAACACTTTATTACATTACAGCAGATGTAAATTAGAATTTAAAATTAAGTTGAGTTGAAGTCTTTCAAGGGCAAATATGATTTGAATTGAAGCTAGCGAGTTAGCATTAGCTTCCGCTAAATGCCGTGTCGTTCCAGCACATTATCATTAGAAAACTAATGTTTATGATTAGTTTACGATTAACCATGTGGAGTATGAGTCCTCCTGCAGGGCACGGTGTATTGCTTCAGAAAATATTGTTTCACTTTGGACAAGAGGCGGCCAACCTTTCGGAACATTTATCTAAACAACCACAATCATCCATTAAATTATTCGGTTGTTCAACTCATCTGCAGCTGTCACTTACACTTGTAATTTCCTCCTTTCACATGGAAACAGTCGTTGCTGGGACTTGTTTTTGTCTGAGAATTCGCAACAAAATAAAAACTCATTTCTGGAGTGACACTAAGCTGTGGTAAGGATCAGTGACAAACTAGCTGTGGATGGATTTAAACTTCTCCAAAATGAATGTAAAACATTTGAAAATCTGCTTTGTGAATATGTGCTACTGCGATGGAAACTCTTTCATCTTCTAAAAAGGTTCCTGCTGCTTAATTAGATGGCAGAACTCCAGAGTCCAAGAGAAACATAAACATACATGCATGCGCACACACACACACACGCACACACACACACACACACACACACACACACACACACACACACACACACCTGCTCAGGTGTTTCCCGGAGGTTCATTGAACTTTCAGTCTGTGCTGCTGAGTCTTTGGGTGCAACATTTCTGACTCTTCAAGAAACTTTCCTTAGAAAACCATCCTATCAAATCCATGTTTGCTCTTTTTCTCATGTTTAATACAGACTGTGTTACCAGAGCTCTTTCCTACCAACAACCATCATAATCTACAACAACACTTTGAAGAATCTGTGTCAATATGAATACTTTTAATACTTTTAACAACTTTTAATTTCCCTTTGGGATCAATAAAGAACTTTTGAATTTGAACTGAAATACTTCAATCTTAAGGAATTATTGACTTAAAACAAGCTCCTATAATTTGCTGAAAAGTTACTTATATGTTAATTTTGTCTTTTTCAAAAGTACTAAGATAACTGCACTAAAAACTAGAACTAAAATATTTGGTAATATTTTGTGTTTTTGAGTGTATCAAAGAGAAAACATCAAGTAACTTTTGTAAAGTCTCTTCCTGTTATGTGAGAAAGCTGAATGTTTACAGCAATTGCTCATCAGTTGTGTCTCACCAACTCCTGGTTTTTCCTGCAGCAGCAGCAGGACAAACGTCTCCGTGGGACAGTGAGGGACAGAGACAGGTTATCTACCGTCTCATTCTAATCCTGTGTTTCCTAAACAACCCCCTGCTGTGGCTCTCGGGTTCAGGCTGTCGGTGAGCGACAACAGAAAACAGAAACGGCGAATATTTTCTAGATCCTGGTGTGAACAGAGATCACAGGAGTAAAAGGTTCAGCAGGGAACGCCAGGCATGCTGGGAAAAGACGGTCTGGTCTGCCAACGACTCGTCTTCGAGTTCGAAGGAGACGGGTTGGTGTGGCGCATGTAACCAGAGTTCAGCAGTAACTAGTTACATTTACTCAATTACATTTACTTGAGTAATTTTTTAAAAAAATTTTACTTTTAGGATTTTTTTTGTTTTTTACTTTGCTGCACTTTCTACTTTTACTTAGAAAGTATCTCTGCTCTTACTTGAGTAAAATTTCTGGATCTTCTACCTACTGAATGAAAAACAAACATGTTTTAACCAAAAATTCACCAGACACAAAAACTTGCATTTTTTATAAAAGTTTCATAAGTTTTAAATTGACAGAAACTGATTTGGAAAAGTTTTCTTTCGACTGATTTTTTTTTTCTTTTGCCACTTCTGAAGTGCGAAAGGTTTCAAGATTTTGAACATTTTAAAGGTTTCACAGCTTGCTTTGTACGTTAACCTGGGTGTTGAACCGCTTGACTCAGATAATAAACTTCCACCTGTTATCATCCGACCAAAGTTCCACATTTGAGTCATAACTATGAAACTAAAACTCAGGAAGAGATCTGTCTGGTTTAAAGTCAGACTCAGAAAGCCTGAGACAATAATTGAGAAAAATACAAAGTAAGTAACTTTTAAACAAATACAAAATCTACTAAATCACACAACGGTGTATCAGGACCAATATGGACAGAAAAAAACTGAGTAAAATTATGCCAAAACACTCAGAAATGTTGAAATTAACCTCAGGAACTTTCTAGAAAAAAAAAGGACATTTCTGAGTTTCAAAAGTTGAAAACCTGCAAAAAATAAAATCAGGAATTTTGAAATTAATCTCAGAAATTTTCTAGAAAAAAAGGGTAAGTTTTGAGTTTGAAAAGTTAAGAAAATTGAAGGTAAAACTCAGAAATATTGAGATTAATCCCTGGATTTTTCTAGAAAAACTTGGAAATTTACAAGTTTGAATAGTTTAGAGTCGGGTAGAAAAAAGTCAGAAATTTTTAGATTATCCTCAGAAATTTTCTAGAAAAAGCAAAAATGTTTGACTTTCATCTTTGATTTTTCAAAATAAGACAATTTCTTGTTTTTTCTAGACAATTTCTGAGTTTCTTTTGGGGGGGTGAGGGGAATGGCAGAAATTAATTTTAACTCATGTTTCGTGTCTTTAGAAGAACTTTTCTTTTTGTTTCAGTAGTTCTGCCATGTTTGGTGTCTTTGGAGGAACTTTATTTTTCTTTTTGTTTCAGTAGTTCCGCCATGTTTTGTGTCTTTGGAGGAACTTTATTTTTCTTTTTTCAGTAGTTCTGCCATGTTTGGTGTCTTTGGAGGAACTTTATTTTTCTTTTTTCAGTAGTTCCGTCATGTTTGGTGTCTTTGGAGGTATCTGAATGAACTCCAGTTCTGATTGTTCCCCGCTTTAACCACTGGGGACATGCTGCAGAGACTCACAGGAGGGAGGACCTCCACTGGTTCAGTTGGACTCGGTGCCACCAGGAGAGCGCACACACTGTCCAGGATTTCCCTCGGCCCTCATTTTTCTGTCCTCTCTGGAGTTAGAAACCCTCCACTGCTTCCTCCCTGCAGATGCCTCAGCTTTGCTCCAGCTAACCGCGGCTCTCACACCCCCAGCCGGACCTTCTTCCTCCCGGATCGAGCGCGCAGGTGGACCGGGATGATGGGCGCAGCCGGGTTGTTGGCGCTGCTCCTCGGCTGCTGGTGCCTCGTTGCGGCCCAGGAGCTTCCGGCCACCGGGCTGAACGGCTACAGTCTCCACCCGCCTTACTTCAACCTGGCGGAGGGCACGAAGATCACCGCCACGGCGACCTGCGGGGAGGACGAGGCCGGCCGGAGCCTGCAGGACCTGTACTGCAAGCTGGTCGGAGGCCCGGTGTCCGGAGACCCGAGCCAGACCATCCAGGTGAGTCCAGAACTTCACTAACTTCCGGTCCGGACTGGGGGCAGAGTGGGAAAGAGTTAATTTCGCTTCATTAATACAGACTGAGCTTAAAAACGACCTGAGAACAGCAACTACGGTCAGTTTTCTCAGATTTTTTTTACTTTTAGGTTGTGCATTTCTAAGTTTATGTCATGCAACTTTATTTATTCACACAAGCTCCTCTGTGCATATATATTGGGAATAAATTGATTAATTACATGATAAATTAAAAGCAGCTCAACAGTTTCCATCTGTATGATTGATAGTTTTTCTCTTTCTCTCTTCTCTACCAATAACTGGATGATAAATCTCTTCATCTGGTGTTTTGGTCTTAGACCTTTTTATGAAGGTCTAATTCACTTTATTTGTTTATTTATTATATTTTAAATGGCTTCCATTTCCGGTGTTTATTGATCTTTGAGAATGTTTTCTTGCTTTATTTTTTACCATTATTTGAAAATGGTCTCAAAACTACAATATTATCATTTATCCCGATAACTTCTGGAACAATTTATCGTGACAGAGATAAAGTTAAACCTAAAATATGGAATATATCACAAACCATGGTAACCTTCTGCACTGTTGTATTTTTTTCTTTTAAAAAAAAGTTTCAAAGAAGAAAAAGCTGATATTAGTTTTTCACTACATCTACATAGCATAAATAATAGAATAATCCAATGTTGGTCATTTTAAAATATGTTTTGGTTAAAAAAATGTTTCATGTTTAATAACTTTAGTTTTTAGTCAAATTTTTACAAATTTAAAGGAAAGGTTTTTGTTTAAATTAATACCAGTGTCATAACATGCTTAACTTCTGGCTCAAATGAATGCATTTTCAACCAGATTCAACAAAAAGTAAAACATTTAAAGTTGAATTTAGATTTATTTTCAATCAGTTGGATCCTCTGAGTTTAATTAGGTCTTTAGTTGCAGCAAATCTGTGTCTGTTAAGTTTAGCTGTCATGTATAGACAAAAGAAAGGGAAGAACTTTTAGTTTATTACTGTACAGAAATAATTTGTTTTCATTTCTTGGCAGTAACTGGTGAAAAAGACACATTTTTGCATCAGATTTAAGTCGAATAAAGATCAGCTGTAAAAACTCCAGGATGCAAAATGTTAAAGTTTTTACCTCATTAGAGGAATCTAATTCATCTTAACACAGAGTTGGGAGTGTTTACATTTACTTGAGTAACTTTTTATTTAAATCTGGAGAATATTTAAACGCTGCATTTTTACTCTTAAGTGAGTAAAAGTTCTGTTTTTTCTGCCCACTGAAAGAAAAACAAACATTTTTTAACCAGAAATCCACCAGACACACACCTGCAGTTTTTGTTAAAGTTTCATAAGTTTTTTTTATTGAAAGAAACATTTTGATTTGGAAACATTTTGATTTTTTTTGTTATTTAAATGAATTTTTTTAGTTTCCTTCTTTAAAATACCAAACTTTCCACTTAACTTTACACTTTGAACCATCTGATGTAATGTTTTAAGTTACTCAGTACTTCAAGAGACTTTATACCAAATACTTTTTTACTCTTACTTGAGTAAAAATATGTTGAAGTAGTTTTACTGGAGTTTTACTGGAGTTTGCGCCTCTGCCTAAATCTATTTTCTGCTGTATCTTTTAGCTACAAATCATTTTAATATCACTGGTTTGAACCTCCAGCTGCTCTGCCAACTCATCGTTTCATGCACCGCTGAGTTTGTAGGTCTTGGCAAAGTGTAACACGGGTCAGTTATACAAGAACAACCAGAGTTTCTGTTCCACCTCTTTAATTTCTGGGAGAGTTTTGGGCTCTTTTTAACTTCTGCTAACACATGAAAAGCGAGTTGCAGGTTCGTGGGAGAGCACATAAACACGTCTCTCCATCTCTCGGTTTTTCTCCCACCTGTTCCCCACATTCCTCCCAGCGACTGACCTGTGTCCTCCAATCAGACGGGCTTTACGCTCCCTGTTACCGGCAGGTTTTCTAGTCCTGAGGGCACCAAAAAAAACAAGAATATTCAGCTTAAGAGTGGATTTGGCCCCAGGAGGCGTACGAATGAAAATGTGCTGCTGAACGGAGATTTTTCTCCTAGATTAGGATTAATCAGCAGAGGTTGGGGAATCTTGCAGGAACTTGTTTTCAGCCTCAGGGTACATTTATTTCCAAAGTGCTGTTTATAGAAACTTTGAAATTCATGCCTGTTCCTTAAATAAAGTCAAACAAGTTACTGAATTAGCAGAATAGTGTGAATGTAGGATCAGCTAGATGACAGTAACTGACAGGAATTTAAGGATTTTTACCTAATCTTTCTCTGATTTGTCTGTGTTACAACAATTTGCCAAATTAGATTTAATTCTTTTGGTTTGAGTAAGAAATACAAAAAATGCTGAACATCTGGTGAATTTCTTAAAAATAAAAGTTTATCTGCTCCCTTGAAACAAGAGAGTTGTTTTGGTTTTAATTCAGAAATTAAAGTTCATCCAGCTGATTTAACAAGAAACAAGTTGTGTAAACATCGTTTTTTAACTCTGCTCATTAATCTTCAGTTATGATTTCTTATAACTTAATACTGTAATTTAAGCCAAATAATTATTTCACATTATTCAAGAAAACTGTTCGAATTGCTTATTTTAATTGCAAGAATTTAAATTCTTGATTCAATTTGCGTGAATAAAATATGACAAAGCATTTTATTAAACATCACATGAATTCAGAAATATTTAGCTTAAGCAGTTTAATAAAACCTTGTTTTATTTATTTTGAAAAAGTAAAAGTTAAAACAGGTAAAAAATAAAGTAAATATTTTTGCAAATTAACGGTTACCTTACAATGAATAAAAACAGGAGGATACAAAAACAAGCCGCTAAGGATCCTGGGAAATAATTCCCACTCTCGCCTTTTTCTTTTTTCTGTTTTTTAAGTGCAAACTTAAAAACCCTCATTTGTTCTCTTGGAGTTTTTAACACAACTTTCTACTGAAACTTTAAGTTCAAAATCTAAAAGCTGCAAGATTTCTTTAGACAGAAGTTAAAAGATGCGATTCAAATGTTTTACAGTGTAAGACCGACTCGCCAGGAATTTCATTGAGAAAAACATGAGACAGGAGAAAATGACTTTTATCCTGACTGACCTGCAGTGACGTCGTGTTTTTACTCCAGTTTCTTCAGGTTCAAACTTGTCATCTCTAAAAATCCCGCCAGGCTAATCGTTACGGTAGCTGATGGATTAGTAAATAATCAGGAGGATTATGGAGGAAAATCGATGAACTGTTTGAAGCAAAGGCTTTGACCAAGTGCATAAAATGGTTTTCTACATTTAGTCTTGAAAATAAAACATTAAGGGTTCATTGTTAAAGGTAAATTTCTTTGGTGCAGCTCAGAAATGAATAGAACAGGTGGACTCATCTCTGAAGCTCGAATTAAAGTCTCTACTTTGACAAACAGCTGTGAAAAACAGATTTTTCCAACAAGCAAAATGATCATTTTGCCTTTGCTGGTGCTTGAAGAAGAACACATCATGTACTTCATTTTCATTTTCTATCCATTAAATAAACTTTTCATGATTTGAAATCCTCCATAAGTTTTATCCAGAGGATTTTATGTTTTAACTAGACCCTTCAGGAAGTTGTGATTAAGGAAACGTGAATGATGCCAAGTTTTATGTCCACCTTGGCTCCTCTGAGGACTAACTTCCTAATGACCCTCCATGTCGGCCATCTTAGGGGCAGTACTGTGACATCTGCAGCCAGGAGGAGAGCGACCGAGCGCATCCCATCACCAACGCCATCGATGGGACGGAGAGATGGTGGCAGAGCCCCCCTCTGTCCCGCAGCACCGAATACAACGAGGTCAACGTTACGCTGGATCTGGGACAGGTAGGATTCACAAAAACCCCTAAAAACACGAGACCTTTAAAGTCTGGCCATCATCAGGACATCCCTTAAATGTCGTCTGTTTTTCTTTACTTTTGATGTCTTTCTTCGGGTCCGGTCTGGTTTCTCTGTTTGACCCTGTTGGCCTGATGTAGCATCACAGCGTTGACCTTTTTTCTGCTTCCTAAGTCTTAAATGTATAAAAGAAAACGGGATGCAGTGCTTTTCTACTAATTGTAAACATTATTACAACTAGATAAGGTCAGGGAAAAGTTTTAATTAAGAAAAAATAGTGAGGGAGAGGGAAGTAGGTCAGATGTACTAGCTTGACTTTGACAACTGTAACATGTCGTGGAATTCAGTGAGTTTCGGTTCAGTTAAAAAAATTAAAAAGGCGTCAGAAACACCGACTCTGACGGGTCATCAGGAGAGCAGTTTGTTTAAATTATCTAATCAACCACTCCTGTGTTAGCTTAGCTAATAGCAGCTATAGCTAATCAGCTACAGTGATCACTTAGTAATCACAAAATAAACATCAAGCCTGAAAACGTAAAACCACAACAGAATGTTCTGTTCTTGTGTGGAAAATGTCTGAGTGGTTTTTTGGTGTTAAATCCAGAAACATTTGTGGAGTTTTTGTCCGTTGCTATAGCAACAAGTCTGTGTGTAGCGTAGCCGACTCAGAATGATAAAAAAGAAGACTACAAGTGGTCTGGAGTTATTTTCAAATGGTTTTTCTGCGTTATTTCTCCCTTTGCTGTGGCACTCTGCACTGAGTTAATTATACCTTCATATTTCATTTAGCTAACGGAGTTGTTCTGCCGCGGCGGCGCCTCTATGGACGCATGTGAAAGAAAAGCCTTTTTGTCCCCCAGCATGTAAACTACAACATGCAGGGGCTCCTTATCTAAACGGATAAACTTGATCTGTACAGATCAGTTACAACTATGATTTTTACGTAAGTGACCGTTTGAAAACATGAAGAATGAGAAAGGACAACGTCTTTGTAAACCACTGCAAAATATTCAGCAAGAAAACAAGTTTTTAAAATTTTAAATTTTTGTCCAATATTTGTGGCTGTAGCAAAATGTTGTGCGCATCTTTTGAATATATTGTAGAGCTGAAACAATTAGAGGTTTAGCACGCTAGCTTTAGCTTATGCTAGACAGGCTAACATATTGGTGTAGCGCTTTAGCGTTAGCAGAACTAAAGTTTATGATTAGTGCTTTAGCGTTCGCAAAAGTAACTTTTTAATTAGTGTAGCACACAACTTACAGATCACCTTGTCATTGCTTAGCGGCTTATCTGCATATAAATCAAAAATATTTCTGTGTTTGAACTGTTTTATTACTTACCAAGGACGGATTTCAGTGTTCAGAGCTTACCTTCCTGATTAGCTCATCAGTGCTGCAACTGGGCTGAATGAAATGAGTCAAAGAAATACGCTCCCACACTTTCATAGCATGTATTTTCACCGCTTAGCGCTCATCCTGTTCTCTTCTCTAACCTTCTTTTTGTTTTTTGGAGTCTTCCTCTTGAACCTCTTGATGCTGCTGAATGCAGCTCTTTGGTTCTCGTGCTCGAGTGCCTTCCACATGTGTGTAAATCTGTGATCTTGTGTCTGCAGTAAGTGTGATTTGTGTGATTGTTTCACAGTGCTGTGCACAGACATGTTTGAAAGAGTATGGGAATGAATAGCGCCGATATTTCCAGAGAACTTTGAACCCAATGAGGCTGTTTTTTTCCCAGAGGAACCTGAATTGAGCTCGTCTCATTATTCAATGAATAGCTGCTTAAAACTGAAAGGAGAAACTTAAACTGGTATCATTTGGGTTTCTGCTCTGTCTGGTCAAACAAATAATAATTAAACTTGACTCAATCAAACTGGGAATGTTTTGGTGGTGAACTATGAACACGAATAGATTCAGTTTTATTCTGTTTGAACCCGAGAGGTTCACCATAATTTGTTGCACCTTCTTGCTACCCTCCTCTGGTGAACGCCACATGGGCCAGAGACCGCTCCAAAAACAGGAAATGGACTAGAGCGCAAGGCATTCTGGGTAAAACCAAAACAAATATGTTAGCCTAGCGCTAGCTGGAGAAATGAATTGTGGTCTTTCAGTAAAGACTAAAGAGAAATCATTAAATCCGACACCACTCCATTTTTGTTTATATTTCGTGAAGAAGGAAGTTGCGCTGTCTTCAGAGGTTTTTGTGTTGTTTCCTTCAGTTGTTCTTGTTGCAGCGCCCCCTCAGGTGAGGAGGGGAACAGGCTGCTCAAAGGGTTTGATTGGAATTGGAACAAATGTTGCAATTTTGGTCCCAAATTAAACCCAATCTACGGGACTGTCATTGTGTGAAAACATTCTCCGGTATGTTCTTGGTCATTGCTAAGTAAAGTTTTTAAACCTTAGAAATTTGAGGTCTTCTAAGCCGGCTTGTTGCGGCCGATTTAAATGTTTATACATCAGAACGAAGCGGTACGCTGCAAGAGCAGCTTAACTGAGACAACAGGCACAGTGGGGGGGAGCCTCTGCAGTTACCCAGTTACGGTTTTATCCTGAAAGAATGTAGGTGGGTAAAGGCCGGGGTTTGAGTTTGAGTCAGTGACACGGTGCTGACGACCCGCCTCCAACTAAATGAAAGAGAAAGAGGGAGAGATTGGAATTTAAGCTAACCTGTCCCAACCTGCAGACAGGACGGTTTGCCCCCCGACCGAATCCCCTGGTCTCACCCTCCCTGCAGCTTCAAAGCAGATTCACAGATGGAGCTGTAGAAATGTCAAATTCAACAAATTTCCTTTGCTGCTTTTTAGTTACGTTTCCACAGGATTCTCATGTGTGTCTTTATCTGGTGAAGTTTTGATGAAAACGTGAAAGTCCAACAATTAAGTCAAGCAGAAATGTTCATTTTTTTAGCTGCAGATGCATGTCTTTTCACTAAAGGAATGTTACGTTGTTACATCTTACATGTTTTTGTCCCTTTCTGATAACGTGTAAAGAAAGAGTTGGGTGGTTAAATAAAAACATTGCAGCTAATAATAGCGATTACTAAAACAATTGTCAGTTGCAGCTTCATTTTATTTAATTCCTTTTTAAGGTTTGCTTTCTTGCGTTCATTGTCCTGCAGTTTGATGTGGGAGGAGGACTTGAGAAGAGCGAAATGACTCATTTATTCCTCATTTAAGCGGGAATAAGATCGCTTTCATCGCATGCCCAGGTGTGATTGCTTCATTCCCCAGGCGTGTGGTAGTGGAAGAAGTGTTGTCACAGGTAAAGGGCAGGAGAGGAACGGAGGGAACCAAAATCTACCTGGAGGAGGAGAGGCGAAGCAAAAAGTGAGCAGAAGCAACCAGGAAGGGGAGGAGAGGAAGGAGGGATGAAACATGGAGGGGAAACAGACATGAGGCAGAAGGAACAGGGGATGCTTGTCTGTTTCAGAACACTATAATTAGAGCACACTGTGTGTGTGTGTGTGTGTGTGTGTGTGTGTGTGTGTGTGTGTGTGTGTGCGTGTGTGTGTGTGTGTGTAAGTAAAAACCTGGTTTCTTGTAATCAGATCTGTCAGCAGTTTTCAGCCTGAAGCCCTCAGCTCTGTTTTCCTCTGGTTTTATTTATCTACTTCATGACTTTCATATTTTTCAGTTTTAGCCATATTACAGTTGAAATCCATTTTCATTGTATTCTTAAATACTTAAAGTTGTTGTTTTCTTATTGTTTGAGGTATTTTTATCAACTGAATATTTTGATTGGCTTCCAAACAAACCTGGATCTTCTGGTGACATTTGGGAGGATTGCTTTCTGCAAACGGTTTTATTTAGAGGTTTCATTGTAAAGGGGAATACTGCAAGTGCAGTCTGCACTTATTGTTCTTGTAAAATTAATTAAATTTAAAATGATGCAATATTATGCATTGTTTATAACCTTAAAATCCCCATAAAATGTACCTGTATTGTTAGAAAATGTGAAATAGTTTATGGGGTAGGAACACTTTTGCAAGTTTTCTTGTTGTTTTTGTCCGACCCACATAGCAGTGGTAATATAACTTCATTGTTTGCTATAAAGGATAATTTCCTTCATCCCTGACTGAATTCATCCTGCTCCTGATTGTGTTTTATTGTGCAAGTGATCCTTTAGTCCTTTAATTGGCACGGTGCAGCTCTGAGCCTCAGGGAGGAGGACAGCATGAAGCTTACAGATCTGGGAAATCCCAGAGGTTTTTCTTACATCTTACCTGCAGCTTAAACGCTTTAGCTTTCTAAAGATTCAACTTTAATATCAAGTGATGACTGATGGCTCCGCTAAACAGGTTTCTAAGGTTTGCTTTACCTCCATAATATTGTCACAATGATAAATATCCTGCCTCAGAGCGAAGCAAGAAACCTTGGATTTTACTCCAATATTTTAATTCTTTGCTAAGAGGAAGTGAAGAAATAATCCATGGGTCCAATATTCTGCAGAAAGAGTTTAAAGAATTTTTTGTTTTTTAGATTTTGGAACAAAACTGAAACATTTCTTACGTCTTCAGCTGCTGTGGTTCTTTTTCTCACTGCACTGAGTCAAACCATCCAAACCCTTTGAGCAACCTGTTCCCCTCCTGGCCTGTGGGGGCGCTGCACCAAAAACCACTGAAGAAAACAACACAAAACACTGAATAAGTCACAGAACACAACTTCCTTCTTCTCAAAATGGAAACAAAATTGTTCTAGTTGAGACCAAAACATCAGACTGAAGACTTTTATCATCCAGTTTTTAGTGGAAAGAGAGAAATAAAAGACAAAAACAATAAATTATGCAAATGGGAATTCTTTAACTTTTGTGATGTTATGAATAGATTTATTATTTTTTGCGGCAGGCTTGCTGTCGCCACGTTTGCTCAGGAGGAGGGATTTCTGCCATCTTCATGTCTGATCTTTTACAGTATTTTATGTCGGAGTGAATTTAATGGACCTGGATCAGAACCTCATTGCAGTGGAAATGGTACCTGTCTGGATCAGCAGACGT